GTATGGATTTGGTCATATCTGCCCTCTCTGAACATATTACCCATCCGACAATTCAGAGTTTTAGCGAGAAACTCGTTCATGGGAGATTTCGACCCCTGAACACGAATATCACATCCTTCGACGAAAAAACGCTCGTCTGGCCAAATTGCGATTCTGGGCAAAACTTTGAATTGTCGGATGGGTAATATGTTCAGAGAGGGCAGATATGACCAAATCCATACTAGATCGAGTACGTCGTATACTTGATGTACTTGATCTACTTGCCCTGCTGGGCCGTAAATTCGGAAGAATTTCGAAAATTAGAGTTGAAGCTCTTATACGGAGCGATGCAAAAATTTTTGCGCCAACCGGATGCAAATCCGCGTGCGTTTTAAAAGCGAGACCGTTACCACAAGGCCACGGTGGCACTGCCGAAGCATCGATCAGCAGCGCTTACGAGCCAAAACTGGCTTTTCGCAAACTTTGACCACCCAGATCTCGTCTGGGAGGTCCCCGTAGCACTTTTAATCTGCATATTCGTAATCAGCATTCGAGGCTCTATCGATGTACCTAGGTCTCCATTCAAAGTTCCATGGGAAGTTCAAACCATTCCCTTGTGAGTGCGACTGGGCTAGCTTTCCTCAATAGGGTTTCGAGTAAGCATTTTTGTCACTCCAAATCAATTTACCGGCCCGTAGAAATGGAGATATTGTTTATTTTTGGTGAGATTTTCTGAGGTTCACAGCTCTGGTAGCGGCTTTCCTCACCACAGTGTAGCTTCCGTCCATAGAGACGATATCATACAATCGAGTCCCCCTAAAATGAGGTTCTCATGGCTGCGGACTTCAACTAAACGTGGCGGTGGCTGTGCTTTTGGGGAGATATTTTCATTTTGACACAATTGTGGTCGTGTCTCTGTCCAACACAGAACAAGATGACAGTTGTCTCGAACTGAAATATCCCACAAGTAGCTCAGAAAGCCACATTCAAATGCCACGCCTACTCAGTCTCAGGGATAAGGAGTGCAGATATATAACGAATGAAATAGCAAATCAATATATCGATCGATTACAGGTTGCACTCGAAGATTTTTATATAAATTTAATGTTGAAAGTAGCAATTGAATATCAGCAGAAAATGGCAGCAGGTGAGATCGATTAGC